TATATATATATATATTTAGAATTATATAATTTTGAATCTTATCTTATGCATTTATGGTTAACTCTTATATCTAGTTACACTTGCCGTAAATTGATATTAAATTTTGATAATTATTGATTCTTCTAATCCTGTTAAGAAAAACTCATAACAATTACATGCATAGTTTGAAAAGAAAATATTGTTACATGAAAAAACTATGAAATCTCTATAATAAAATGAACTTTTAGTGATATTTAATATAATTTTTAGTTGTAATAAAAAGTGTGGTAAAATATTTCATTAACATTTTCACATCAGTTATTGTATGCAATATCACTAAAATATTTAATTTATACTAATTTAGAATAGTAAGTTATAAGTTTAACTCAACCCTACAAAATAAACTTATAAGATGAGAGTTATCATTCATTTATATATTTTTTAATTATCTTAAGTTTTTTTTTCAATAAATAATTATCATAAATTTTGGTGTGATGTAAATATATTTTTAATAATTATTATATATTAGTTATTAATATTTTTATTAGATAATAAAATAAAAATTATTAATTTATTGTCATTAAATAATTATCGATAATAATAAATTTTATTGTAGTGAATGTTTTGTATGAAAGATATATTTTTTTTTAGGTGATTGCACGAAAGATGTTGAAAACGATAATTACAAGACAGTTCAGTAAATCATTCATTATCTTTTTCCATATATGATGATGCCTTCAAATTGGTTGATGAATTCTAAATTTATCTGTTTGTAGCACAAAATTCGTACTAATAGTAAAGCTAAAAAATATGGAAGATCAATTTCCTGTGACAGTGTTCAGAAGCAAACAAATAAGCAAAAGGAAAGGAGAGGACAAGAGTGGAGCAACCAGGCTAGAAAGCTAAAAACATCCACATTTTTTTAGCCTCCAAACAACACACTTTGCCCCCAAAGTTCATCTCACATGCTATATGCAAAATAATACATGAAAATGAGATTTAGTGCTAGTTTTGTGGGTTTGTTATAATAAGTCCGACATATTGTTTTTTTCTCTTTTTTATTCTGGCGCAGCAGGTCTTATCATTGAGGAAAAGCATAAAAAAGATGCCCGTTTGTGTGCATATATCAAATTAAATAAGAATTGATCAGAATTTGGAGTTTTATGGTCCGAAATCTAGTGCCCTAATGATTGAATGATAGTGAATGGGTGGGTTATGGTGGTACGGAAATCGCTGTACAAAAATTTCTGCATTTTTCAATGGCTGAATTTTTTCTCCTGTCATGATTATTCTTTAGTTCAATAGACATAGACTAATCTCATATGTAATGTTGTGATTATAAATTTGTAATTGATATATTGATCGATTTTTTCTTACAGTTTTTACTAGATAGATCGTCTCAGTAAAATATAAAGCAAAGTATCTAATCATTACACCAATCTATTTGAAATGAATGTTAATTAATTTTGCAAAAATAAGAGAAAAAAACTAATTATTAACATATTAATTATTTTCAGATATAGCTGCTCCAGCTAGGTGTACACGCACTTGTGTCCACAACCGAAAAGAAGGCTCAAAGAATAAGGGAAAATGAGAAAAGCAGGGAAAAGAAAGAACAATCCACTGAAAGCGTGTGCATGAGTTGTTTCAGAATCAAGCAACGGGGTTGCATTAGATAAACCTTTTAGTTGGCAGCCCAAAAATATCGAAGCTGATTGGCTGATTTCACACTAATCGACACATGTCACACATTGATCCGTGAATTTGTGGATTTCTTTTGAACAAGTGTACATGAGGTCAACCGTTAAATATTAAATCCAAAAAACAAAAAGCACAACAATATTTTGTATACTAACAAAACTATTTATTCATTTTTTGTTACCACGATAACCACAGATTATAAATTTTTTATCCATAATATATAATGTATATACACTATAATATTAAGCAACTAGGTTTAAGTCTAATATAAAGGCGTTAATTTCTCATATCATAGTCAATTAAGGTTTAAATTTCTTTTATATATGAGAATTGAGAAGTGGTTATATATTGGTGGAGAAAAAAAATAATATATCCAGTGTAGGTTACATCATCTATGCATTATATAAACAAACCCTAAACCATGTTGAAGAGGTAGAGTGAAACAATAGGAACAAGTTAGATCTACATGGCCAGTGGCGTGGTGACTACAGTGGACTGCGAGAAACAAGTTAGATCATGGAGGCTGCTACGTTCTCTCATGCATCTACTAATTCCCACGTGCAACTGCGCCACCATTATAGAAGAAGAACACCAAGCTGTAACACCATCAAACGTGTGTCTCCAAAACCCCACCAAATATCATTCACCATCACTGACAAATTCAACTACCATTACAGGCACCATATTCGGATACCGCAGAGGCAAGGTGAGTTTTTGCATTCAGGCAAACGCCAGCTCCACCAACCCAATTCTTCTGCTAGAGTTGGCAGTTCCTACAACCATCTTAGCCAAGGAAATGAGAGAAGGGTCTCTCAGAATTGCACTAGAGTGCGATGATAATGATAATAATAATGATGATGAAAACGCAAACGCTCTTTTGTCAACGCCTTTGTGGACAATGTACTGCAATGGGAGGAAGGTGGGGTATGCCGTTAAGCGCAGGCCCTCGAAAACTGATTTTGAAGCATTAAGATTGATGCGTTCGGTTGTTGAGGGAACTGGGGTGATGAACTGCAAGGATTTCGTGCATAAAGAAGATGATCAACTTATGTACCTTAGAGCAAACTTTCAGAGAGTTCGTGGCTCAGCTAACTCTGAATCTTTCCATTTGATTGATCCAGAGGGAGACATTGATCAGGAGCTTAGTATTTTCTTTTTTCGGTCCAGGTGACCTTTTGTTTTTATTTTATTATTTTCTTTCTTTCCACCACTTTCTTCAGCTTTTTGAGCTGTGTTTAATCATTATGGTCAACCAGACCAGAGCTAGAAGCATGGCTTTATCCTTTGAAATCTTAATTTTATCTTTCACGCTCACAGTTGTGTGCAAGAGAAAACTAGTTCAGGATTACAAACTATCAGTCTCAACAAATTATTATATGATATATATTTAAGTTTTTTAATTTACTAGAAAAGATTAATTAAGAACATTTGATTAAAATTATTAACAAATTGTGATGATTTTGGAGGAAAACCGTAAGCTGATACAGTTTTTTGGTCTTTCCTCTCATGCAATTAAAATTATTAACTACTTAGTTTCACATTGTTCTCGTTTTGTGGGATAAAATGAATGATCAGTGTCTATTGTGTAAAATCTGATTTTGTTTTATCAATTGAAATTAAACTCGAAGTAAAGAAACTTACTTCAATTTACTTACCCATCCTAATCATTGAATTATTAGAACTTACATAATATAACAAAAGTTAAATTATATTTTTGATTTTTTATCTTATTTTTTTAGATTTGTTTTAGTCTTTTATATGTAGAAATATTTATTTTAGTTCTTTATCTTTTATCTTTTATATTTAGATCAATTTAATCTTTTTAAAATATACTACAAGAAATATTACGGTGACATAAAAAAAGTGTTACTATAAGTACAATATATATAAATATATATTTATTTAATATATAGTTATATATAATTTTAGTGTTTTGAATGAGATTTAACAACATACTTTGTGTGTTATAATAATCAATACCCATATTTTTATAATATACCAATATATATTATATTTATTGTATGGGTAAAAATAGTTTTTAATGACCCCTATTATGTCACTATAGAGTGTATGTTACTATATGACAATTTTCTTATAAGATAATGATAATTTTCAATTTTATAACATGATTTTAAATCAATTTTTAACTAATTTAAGATGTAAAACTTGTGATATTATATTTATCTATATGAAAATTATGAAATTCAATCAACATTTAAATCCAAAAAGTTACGAATATAGTAAAAATCGTATAAAAAAACACAACATACGAGAACTAGAAAATATGAAATTATATTTTTGTTTTGAATTTTTTTTATTGTTTTTTGGACATAATTTTTTATGCGATTTTTACCACATGTATCACACTTTCTTGTTTGAACATCTATTGCATTCAATAAGTTTCGTATAAGTGGATATAATGAATCAAATTTTAAATATTGAATTAATAAAAAAATAATTTAAAATCATATCTTAAAATTAAAAAATTATTATTATTTTAAAATGACTAAATATCAATTCAACTTTACGAAATAAAAAATCACAATAAATATTATAAGAAAAATGACCAAATAAATCTATAAAAAAAAAAAGATAAATGACTAAAAGTTTAATTTAATCTATATTTTTTTACTCTTCAAAAGTTTTAGATTAAAATTATTATTATTTTAAAATGACTAAATATCAATTCAACTTTACGAAATAAAAAATCACAATAAATATTATAAGAAAAATGACCAAATAAATCTATAAAAAAAAAAAGATAAATGACTAAAAGTTTAATTTAATCTATATTTTTTTACTCTTCAAAAGTTTTAGATTAATTTCTTGATATACAATTTTTTTTTTTTTTTAGGTGAACAAAAATTTATTTAAGAAATTCAATTCTCTCAACAAATATTATCCCACATTAACGAACTAAAGACTGAACTTATGACCACATATTTAAAATATAAGTTATCTATAAAACACATTAAATGTTATTTTATTCAAAATGCTTTTTAACTTGGAACTTGTCTCTCTTTCTCTCTTCTTCTCTAGATATAGTAACTTTACTAAATTTATTTATACTTATTTCTTCACTTTAAGCTTTCCACTTTTGATAATAGAAAAGAAAGAAAAGTTAAAATTTAAATTTTTTTATCTATCAAAATTAAACTTTATCAAAGTCTTTACAATAACTCTCATATTCTACGTACTTAACCAATAGAACTAAATTCATTGGTATTTTAAATTTTATATTATCTATCTTCTTTTTTCCACAAATTAGAATTGCAGAATAAGAGTGAAATGGGTGTGAAAATATATAACAATTTTTTGTCGAACGTGAGGAAAGTTAGACTGGCCCATCCTTTATTCAAGACAATTTAATTCGTCTATATGTAAACTTTAAATTTAAATTTTGTAAAAAGGGATAACTTTTGTACACGAGTTTATCTCAACCCTAAAACAAGAGAGACAAACTTTAGATAATAAAAAAAGGAGACGTGGATTTTTTCCTTTGTACGAGTTTGAATTCGATCATAAGTAGGAAAAAAAAAAAAAGATTTCGTAAGTATAATAGTTGGTACTTGCGAACTTGATATAAACTTGAGTAATTTTTCTATGATTGGGATCAGTAAAGCTTGAGTGAAACTAAATAAAAATGTAAATCAAAATGATGTTAAAAAATTATTAAATAAGTTGCGATTGGGGTGAAATGTCTCTTTAGAGCAAACTAGCTCTTCCCAAAATGTATATATTGAGGCACAATAATTGAATTAACATTTTAGGTAAAGCACTATCTCCATTATGGGTATAATATTTAACGGTATCAAATTAAGAGATTTTTTTAATATATTTGATGCATTATTCTAAAACTAATAATCAAGAACTAATTTATATTTATTAAATATGATTTTTACTGTTAAACATTATTTTAACATAGTATTCATTATAACAAAATTATTATATAATAATACATATTTTATAATTACATAATATTTATCACTAAAAAATTATTTTAATCTACACTACTTATATAAATACATGTTGATATACAATTAAAAAATATAAATATAGATTATAGTGACATATAATATATATTGTTAAATTTTATTTAAAATTATTAAAATTATATTTAATTATATTATAAATAAATTTATATTTACGTATTTTATATCTATAATGACATTTTTTATATGTCATTGTACGTAATATTTCTTTTTATAATAATCTTAAATTTAATTTGAATATATATATATATATATATTAATCATCGATCACAGTACGGGAATCATCAATACGGCAATTGTGTTTAAGATAAATTCAATTCCAAAGCACATGAATGGGAATAGAGAAGATGTAAGGATCATGGGCTTAATCCAATTTTTACCTAACAAACAGATAAAAATAGCCTAATACCGAGATAGTCATTAATCAGACTATATTTATATCATTAATTAGACTTTATTTATTTTTTGATTGAATCAGAATAACTTAAAACAAAACCTTAAAATATTTATGCGAAATAAAATAAATAAATAAATAAAAAGTGAATCAATTAGTGTATGACTGTTTTATTTAGTTAGATATTTTGAGATTGAATTCTAAATATACAATTACATTAAATATTTAAAAAAAAATTATCGTATATAATAATTATACTTAACTAGTCGAATAAAATTTTATTAGAAAATACTTATAGTCTCAATAAGATAACAAATGTTAACGTTGGTTAATCTGACAATTGGGAGTAAGTTATATCAGCAACAAATAAACGATTCAACTCACCAACTAAGTAACTACACACTTAAATGGTATTTTATTTATTTATTTATTGATAAAAAAGAATTAAATTAAAATAAGACATGATTTCATATAAAGTCAAATCTAACTATTAACATTTTTTGGATTTCCAATCGAATTATAAATTATCTATTCTCTTCTTAGCAATAGTTCACATGAAAAAATATAAGACAGAAAAATATTACTAAATCAAACATAAATATTTTATTATCAATTGAATTAATTTTTTTTAGAAGTTTTCAAAGTCAAAGCTTCGGATGTTATATTTTTATAATTTGACATATATTTATATTAAAAAAAATAAAGTTTCAACAATTGAATTAATATTTTCTAATTTTTTTAATTCATATATTCAATTTCATTTAATTTATAAATATATTTATAATTTAGAATATTTGGTAAAATCTGTAAGTATTGCGTCGACCTTTTCATGCCCGACAAATGTCTTTGGATAATTAATCAACTTTAATTTAAAAGTTTATGTTGTAAAGTTATATAGAACTGGGACATCGTTTTAGCCCAATCGTCAGTGAGAATATATATCATATCATATAGTCCATATAAATATATAATCAAGGATCCAAAAGCATTTTTACGCGTAATTGACAGCTCATGATATTCTCCTTGTTACTCTTATTACGCAAAGCAATTTTAGAGAAATTCAATCCATGTTTACAACTTCAGCACTTCATATTTAAAACACAATCTGCAAGACATGGAGTAGAATCCATGAGATATTGATTTTGAAACAAGAGTAGAATCCATGAGTTTGAGACAAGTATGATTCATTTATAGTATTTCTTTTTCAATCATTAATTTTAAAAGATGTTGCTCTATTTTGGATGGAGATATTGAAGTAAGGACGTAAGAGTGGAACTTTCTACAACAAGCCCATGTGGCCATTTTCCTAGCTTCTTCAAAATGGGTATCTAATTGCATGAGTGGTTTCTTATTCATTATTATGTCGTTTGATCGGGAATTACTAAATTAGATAAACTGGATTACTCAATCTATTAAATGCTAGTTTGATATAGGTCACAAGTTATAATGATTCGTGTAAATTTAATTCATTCTTCTAAATTGAAGTTGAAATTCGATTCTATATGGAAAGTAGGTTTCGATTTTTTTAATTTTTAATTTTTTTTTTGAAGTTCAAGCTAAATAATTATTGTGATAATTATTTTTATTGATATATTATTGTAATGTAGTAATCAAATACTAATAACTAATTTATTTTATTATTGCATTTAAGAAAGAGATTAAAATTTAATAATTGTAAAAATTGTTATGATTATTTTTAACATAAAACACTTATATATAATAAATTAATATTATCTATTATTTTATAAAAGTGATAAAATTATAACTTTTATAACCATTTGGTTAATAGTTTATAAGAATTATAACTTCATTTAGTCATACTCTCTTA